AACTAGGAGGGGGACAACTAGAAGTTGTTTGGTTACATTCTTGTCATGCAGCTGCAAATACAGGCAAGTCAGTTCTGTGTGATATATAAAGTGTTTTTTTTCCTTAATGCAACCAACTTTGGGCAAAGGAGCTTCCTTTATTTAGTGGCCCCTAGTACCACCTACTAGCACACAGATATATTTACCTGCTGCCCAAGTGGGAGGTGAAGCAGCTGCTGTCATCTCCAGTGGAGAAAGTTAGGGGATAGGTAGAAAGGATATGAATATGAAACATATTGGGTGTAGTATTCATACACACAAATGAATATTTTAACGGTTAATTTCATATCTTATAAACAGAAAAAAACCCTTCTTTGATAAGGTAGTGAACTCTGCATTTGAACATGATATATACCATCAGATTTGTTTGATGGGTCATTTAGTTTTGGTGAAATGCTTTTTCTTTCTTCTTTTTTATTCTTTATTGGAAGGGATAGCTTACTGAGGAGGCGAAGGATACATTTATAAGTAAAAGTGATGTAAAAAAAGTCAATATATTTTTAAATTAAAAAAAAACACGGGAAAAACTCAATATTTTAAAATCCAGTCTCCTGAAGTTAAAATGATAGTATTAAAGTCTAAGAACAATGACAAAACATTCTTCTTATCTTTCTATTATCATTTAATCCAATTATAATATTTTAAGAGGATGAGGGTTCTTTCTCAATATAAATTCTTTCTCAACTGTGTAAAACAGACCTGTGCTACTATATTACCAATTACAAAGGGTGGATGAATAAGTGCAAAAGCTTATTTTGAACCTGAGAGTCTCAATTATATTAGGCAAGATATAAGACTGCTAGGACCAACGGACAGAATGCCATTTACTAAACTTGGAAAGGAATTGGGATTATGCATTTCCCTATCAGATTAGTATGTGTTTCCAATGTGATTCCAGATGACTTAAGATGAAACATCTTATCCACTTCCAGAAAGAGAGGTGATAGACTCAGAATGAAGACAGCCACAGTAACTTTCAGAGGAATCAGACCCTTGTGAAAGTATTCCTATATGTAACATCCATCTCCCATCTTGGTGCCTGTTCTTGTAATTTCTGTTCACTTCTCCCTTGCAGAAATCCTAGATTCCTTTAAGACTCAATCCATGTGCCACCTCCACAAAGGACTATCCTGACCTCCCCAAGAAATTACTTTGAATTTCTCTGGTATCTTTTTTCAATCAAAATATGAACTTGAGGATCTTGTGTCTTAAGTCTACCTATTAACACACATGTTGTCTCCTCTGCTAGAATGTAGGCACCTCGAGGGCAGGTGACTATTTTTGCCTCCCTAGAGTTTAGCACAGTGCCTACAACATTAGTAAGTGATTAATAGTGATTAATAAATGCTTGTCGATTGATATCCCACCACAAAAACCCCATCATGTTTTAGAATATGCCCCATGCTCTGCCCCCAGAATGTCATATAATTTTACAAAGAGTTTTCCTCTTAATGGACTACTCATCATATTTTACATTTACGCTTTTTGTTTTACATCACATTTATTCTCAAATATATACTTCCTCCAGTGGAAAAGGCGCTGGATCTACCTTACAGTCAGAGACCTTGAGTTCATATCTCAACTGTGACACCAAATAGCTCTGTTACCTTAAGGAAGTTACTTAACCTTCAGTTTCCTAATATGTAAAATAAGGGGGTTGGACTGGGTAATTTCTGAGTCCCTTCTAGGCAGAAGGAAAGAGCCTCGTACTCCTTCAACTATACTGTTCTTTTCCCCCTATTCTTTGTTAGGGGATCAAGGACAGCCCCTGCTACCTCATTTACACTATCAGTTGGTTTAGCAAACTCTCTTCTTGTTTATAGCATAAAGCCAACTGTCAGCAAAGCTCTGGTCAAATGAGCCCAAGTCCAAAAACAAAGTTTTACTGTAATAGGATCCTTCTCAGTGAAGAAGGTCATTGGTCTTCAAAGTAAATTGGATTCCAACCTTGATCATTTAAGGAATTTTCACGAATAAGGCTTGATAAGAGATGTCATCTCCATAATAATGAATCCAGGTTTTGAGTGGATTACAAATTGATGCAACACTATGATTAATCCATACTATCTTGGTGTTATCTGAGATTTTAGCAACCACATGAAAGTAACTACATGGTTACTTTTACTTCTAATCCTAAAACTATATCTTTCCATGACAAGATCTAAACATTCAAGAATTTTGAGCAGGCAATGTCATTGTAATTGCATTGGCATTACAGTCAAATAATTCACTATTTAAAAGCAGAGTAAACTGCAACAAGTGAACCATTCTTTCAATCCTACTCCCTAACCACAGTATTAGGGCATCTACTTTACATTTCAAATCAATAGGTTCCATAGAAATTTTACATGAATGGCTTTCAGGATTTTTTTTTAAATAGAAAATGTAAGTCACTAAATGGTACAATGTATTTCCACCTGTACAGGACCCTCAATACTCAAATGAATCTGTGACCTAGTTAATTTGGGAGTTCTCTTCAATGATAAAGTTTTCCACTCATCCCTGACTGCCTATCCTGTGCATCTCATCCATGAGTTTCCAGAACTTCACCACAAGGGATCTAACCACTTACTGTGCTACAGGCCTCCCTTGATTCCTCCTGACCCCAACAGGGTACCAACAGAGTTCTCTGGCCATCCACCTGTCATCGTCGCTTTTTATCTTACAGTTCCTTGACAACATTCTTTTATCCTGCTCTTCAGGATTACTTGTTGGTTTTAATATGCTATAGCCACTCATGCCCATTACACAGCTTTCTCTTGCCCTATATGCTCATTTTTAGTTCCTTAGGAACATAGGTGTTCCAGATCTCACTGACATACAATGACATATACCTCTAAAATCTTTGTATTAAAAAATATGGGCTTTTGCTGTTAGGGGAAGCTTGGGGGGGGGGTCAGTAAAAGTGCTTTATAATTTCCCAAAAGCAATCCTGGCCATTCTCCTCCTCATTTCCCAATCTGGGCCAGGCTCAATAGCTACCTCTAGTATGTCCAAGACATTTATAGCTATATATCTGTAAATACAGACATACAGATATATAGTTGTTGGAAAATACTCTGTAGAATATTTAGAAGCTTGTTAAAATCTAAGCAATACACATTCATCATCCATTTAGGACTTGCCCTATGGACGTCCGGCCAAACTCCTCTGAAAGAACTTTCCCAGAAGGCTCTGCACTGTTCTGGGGCTTGATGAAATCAGCAAAATGTCACCTGAAAACAGAAGCATCTGGGGTATCTCACCAAATGCAGGGAGTTAGTCCTCTCCTCACACCAACCTTTACACTAATTCTCCATCACATTGGTGGACACTTGATGAGTGTATTGTTGTTGTTTAATCGTTCAGTCTTGTCTGACTCTTTGTGACCCCATATGGAGTTTTCTTGGCAAAGATACTGGAGTGCTTTGCCATTCCCTTCTCCAGCTCATTTTACAGATGAACAAATTGAGGCAAACAGGGTTAAGTCACTTACCCAGGGTCACACAATGAGTGTCTGAGGTCAGATTTGAACTGACTCCAGGGCCATTCCTGCATCTATTGTGCCACCCATTTGCCCCTTTGGTGAGTGTATATCTCCCTCTTTTATGCCTTGCCTGATGTTTATTAACAAGGGGAATCCTAAATAGGGTTATTTCTTTTGTTACATCTTCTAAGGAATGCTGAATGATCTTAATATATGGATGGAAGACACCTTATTGTAAAAGAGCTTGTAAGGTGGTATTTTGTTCTTCCAAGTCAAATGATTTTTCACACTCAACAATCATCACAATGGTATCTTATATTGTCTAAAGGGCAGAGGGATAAAAGAGAACTAACTCTCTGTCCTTTCCCATTAAGTTGCTTGCTATATTGTTTTCTTTATGTAACTCTCACCCAAAGAAGGTCCTTACTTACTTTCTACTTACTACTTTCTGGAGCACAGGAAGAAACTTTGTGGTTCACTGGAAAGTGGGCCTCTTTGCAACATTTTGCATGGGTACACTAGGACTTAGATTTATACCTCTAGTCTTTAATATTCACCTCAAAATTATGATTGAGCAAGGTACTCTGTGAGTGAAGGTGGTAAAGGGGGAACCTATGTAAGTCTAACAGGAGGGAATCTAAAGAGGAGAGGGGAAAGAAAAGAGCATTTATATGGTACCTACTATGTGCCAAGCACTGTGTAAGCATTTTTCACAAACCATCTCATTTGTTCCTCATAACAATCTTGTGAAGTAAGTACTGTTAACTCCAATTTGCAGTTGAGGAAACTGAGGGAAATAGAGGTGAAGTGATTTGACCAGAGTCACACAGCTAGTAGGTGTCTGAGGTCATATTTGAACACAGGTCTCCCTGACTCTAGGCCCAATGTTCAATCTACTGACTCCCACCAGTTAGTATTTTACCACATACAAAAGGACCAACTGGACTCAGCATTCTAGGAATACTGCCTCTCATTATTTTCTTTTCAATAGTCAGATAAAAAAAACTCAAAAAAACAAAACTTAAGATGTCACTGGAACATCAACTGCTAGAAGAAGAAGTTGGAAACATCACAATACACACATTATCCCTATCCTTCAAGTGGTGAAATGTTCTAACTATTACAAACTTACCATTGCAATCATTAGAAGATTCTCAATTCAGATTTTAAAAAATGTAAATAGCATTATTTTGATATCAATATTAAATGGCTTATATTTATATAAGCTTTAATATTTGCAAAGCATTTTACATACATTACCCCATCTGATAAGACAACATTGAAACTTTCCTGTTAATAGGACTTTTTTTTAAAACCACAAAAGAAATTATAGTATGGTTTTTCAAAATGTATATCACACATATTTATGAAAATGAGAAATAAACAGAAGTAAAACAGAAATGGAAGGGGAACAATCTTAAACTGTAGATATGTGAATGAGGTCATTTATCTGTATTTTTTAGCTGCAATCACAAAATGATTAAAATTTTCTTACCAGTTGCCGTTGGTATTTACAAACTGTTGTACTGCATATCCAAATTGCTCGGTTGAAGGACCATCAAATATTTTTGCTTCCAGGAGACCAATGTTATATGCAGCACAATAAGGAAGGACTATTAAAAGGAAGAAAAATAGATTGCTATAATTTTCAAATATGGATAGAATTTTGTGGCAGATTTTCTTCAACTTGTGCAACTATAAAAGATTCCTCACCAGTTTTCACTACCTTAAGTGAATAACCTCAAAAAGCAATCCTTCTTTATCCTCCAATGGGTCAGCAATTGCATACTCAGGTTTTTGTTTATTTGTTTGGGGGAGGCAGGGCATGCCAAGCTGATGATTCATCAATGTAGGGAACTATCTGGCTGGGAACCTCTGTCAACCATGCAGATCAGCAATTCATCTGTAACTTATGCTTTCACATAGTTGCCTGGGGACGTTGAGAAGCAGTAACATAACTTGACCAGGATCACATAGTTTCTGCGTCAAAAACAAGATCTGAACCCAAGCCTTAAGGACTATCAGTCTGTCTAGCTATTTACCCACTCCACTAAGTTGCCTCTCATTCTTTTTTTGCTTTTTAGTATTAAGCCTGTGATTTATTTGCTACCAGACAGTCTCAGAGAGCTGCCCTGCTGTAACCAAGAGAAGAAGAATTCAAAGAGACTTTGATATAATGATGTAACAAACCTTAGGGGCAACCTTTTACAAGACAGTCATGAAAAGTTAAGAATGTTCACCAATGCAATAACTAATCCAGACTCTAAAAGACTGCTGATAAAGCATTTCTCTCATCCCCTGACATAGAGGTGATGGACTGTAAGTGCAAAATGAAATATGCATTTCCAGACACAACCAATACAACTTAAATTTGTTTTGCTTAACTATACTTATTTGTTGAAATCAATGGCTTTTATTTGTGGGAAGGAGAATTGGGGTGGGGGAGTAAGGAGGTAGTGATAATTATGCAAATAAGAGGAATAGAAAAAAAGTCAATGAAGCATTTATAAAGTACACAGAAGGCAGATGGGAGTTGAGTAGGGGATTTAGACAAACAGGGAAATTTTTATAATATCATGTTAAATATATACACATATAGAAATATTTTATTTGTGTGTATATATTTGTGCTTTATATATACAATATATGTATGTATGTACATATATTTATTTTATGGTATATTTATATGTAAAGGGAAGCTAGGTGGAACAGTGAATAAGTGTGCCATGCCTGAAGTTAGGAAGACCATTTTCACGAGTTCAAATCTGGCCTCAAACACTTACTAGCTCTTTGACCATGGGCAAATCACTTAATGCTGTTTGCCTTAGTTCCTCATGTGTAAAATAAGCTGGAAGAGAAAATGGCAAACCACTCCAATATCTTTGCCAAGAAAACTCCAGATGGGATCATGAAGAGTCAGACATGTTTGAAATGACTGAACAACAACAAAAATGCATATGTGTACATAGTACCTACTATGTGCCAGGCACTGTGCTAAACACTTTACCAATACTATTTCATTTGATCCTCAAAACAACCCAGGGAGGTAAGTACTATTATTATCCCCATTTTACAGATGAGGAAACTGAGGCAAACACAGGTTAAATGACTTGTCCAGGGTCACATAGATAATAAGGATCTGGGGCTGGATTTGAACTTGTGTGTGCTATCCACTGTGCCATCCAACTGCTTCTAAAATACCAAAAAAAAAAATACCACCACAACAAAGGTATTGTTCATAACCTTGAAGAAAACACTTTCAGTAAGTAGTAAAGTTGAAAGTCAGATTAGAAGGGATTGAAAAGACTGTGAGGGGAGGAAGTATAGATAGCTTTTTCTAAAGTTGTAATAGGCTAAGTTTAATAAGAAATAATATAATAGACTCTACTGGCTGCCTTGTGAATTCTTAACACCAGTTTATTTGTGATTAAGTGTAAGTGAATAGCTGTAAAGAGCTTTGCAAAGATCAACAAACCACATAGTGTGTGTGTGTGCGCGTGCGCATGTGTATCTGTGTCTGTGTGCACTGTTTCTTAAATATAACAAGGTCAAAGTACTCCTATGGATTGCAATATAACTTGCTGCATCCAATAATTAAAAATAAAATTAGTTATTTTCTTACAGCTAATGACTTCTAGAGTATAGACTTTGTACTCCAGTACAATATATAATTCTCTTGATTAGAACATTAGCCTAGTTCCATCTTGAATTTCAAAGAGAGTTGTTTCCTAGATAGCAAAACACAAATTGTTACTAATATTTCTTCCTCATTTTTCACTTGGTGCTTGAGGTATTTAAATTACTTCCAGTCCTGAGTTTCTTAGCTTCTCTTCGAGGTGTCTGAGAGGTCAGCTTTTGATGGCTTTAGGAAATTTAGTGGTTTCAAGTTTCTATTTATAGAATTAATTCTATACTACACTGAAACCAAATTTTGAGATAGCTCTAAAGGGAAAATACCTTGGCACTAGGGTTGGGAAAAAGGAAGGATTTTGCTGGTTTCATTTAATTGTCCAAACTGAATGAAATACAGAAGAAAGGGAATATGAGGGTGGGAGTGGGAGGAACCATACAACCCCTACCTGTAAATGCATAACATAAGAACATGAATTTTTCCATACTGGGTCATTCCAGTAGTTTAGTCCATTTGACTCCAAAGAAACTAAGGATATTGAATTAATGTGTCCTTTAAAGGTTAAAACCAGATACTTTAATGTTACTTCTAATAATAAGGTTTATATAAGGGTAGACTTGTATGAACTGATTCGAAGTGAAGTGAGAAGAACCAGGAGAACAATTTAAATAATAATAATATTGTAAAGATAATGAAGTTCAAAAGACCTGATAACTCTGATCAACACAATAATCTACCCCAACTCCAAAAAGCTCATGATGAAACATGTCATCTACCTCCAGATAGAACTCAGAGTACAAATTAAAGGGTATTTTCTTTTCTTTTCTTTCTTTTTTCTTTTTTTTTGGGGGGGGGAGAACATGACTAATGCAAGAATTTGTTTTGCATGACTTCATCTTTATAATTTTTTTTTGTAATTTTGTAATTTGTTTTTCTGGCCTCAATGGGTAGCGTAGGAAGAGGAGGGAAGGAAAGAATTCAGAACTGAAAATAAAATTTAATTTAAATAATAATATTAGGCAGACTGATAAACCTTTTTTGTACTTACAGAACTTTAAGAGAAAAGAAGCTACTTGATATTATTATTGGCATAAATGTTAAGACATCTAATATTCGACCTTGGATGGAAATCAATGTGTTGAATGCACAGAAGTCCTAGAATGTTGGAGCAATAAGATACCTTGGGGATCATTTGGTCCAGTCTCCTCATGTTAGTAGATGAAAAATGAAGGCATTAAGAAGTTTAGAGATTAGCTTGTAAATTTATTCAGCCTTCTAGGCGAAGGCCACAAGAGCACAATCCTCAGTTAGGCAGATGGTTTTAAAGTCCTCATCAGGCTTTAAGTTCTTATTGACAATATTTTATGAATACATCAGGCCCCCTAAAAGTGTGTTCACACATGCCTTTTTCTCTCCTTTTTCACTAGCTCCCAAATTCCCACAATTGACCTGAATTTTTTTAAGTACTCATCCATTTTTATTTGCTATGTTTATTACCAGATCTTTATTTTCCCCTTAAAAATCAGATGAAAGAAACAATCTTCTGTAATTAGACATGGAAGTTCCTATAGGTGTCAAGCACACAACCTACAACACTCCCAAGTGACCCTGAACTAGATTAAAATGCAATTGGGAAATATTTAACAAAGTAAATAAAGGTACAATAAAATGTAGACAGTTTTAACATGTGGTTTTTTAAATCAAGATGTGGCCTGCAGGGATCTTTATGTATGGTTCAATGGCTACCATTTCAAATTGAGTTCAAGGTTTGTTGAGGTCACCTCAGAAGACAGTGCTGCTGGTGCTGAGGCAAACAAGGCTGGAACCGCAGCTAGAGCTAATGTAAAGGAAGTTGGGTTGGCTTCACGTAGCCCCCAAGAACCTGTCTGGTGCAGGCTCTGTGAGCTCTGGGCTGCCCTTACCACCAGATGCCTTTCTCTCACAGCAGGTCTCAGTAGAAAAAAACACAGAGTGATCACACACTTGCCAATGGCTGATTGGCTGAAATATCTTCTTTCCAGTTCTTAAGTCTGGACTGAAAAGTAAAACTCAAATGCCATTTTTTCCAACAAGCCTTTCCCAGAACCTTCCTTAATTGGTAAATGATTTTTTTTCCTTCTCAGCCAGCCCAAAGCACTCGGTTAACACATTTCTTATATATTTATGTTGCCGGGCAATTTCAAAATCCTTTTTTTTTTTTAATTTCCGGGTATGAGGAAGCGACTGCGCTAAGAAAATGCATTGATAAATAGATACAGTCTCTGCCTTCTTAGAGGATACAATTTATTCAGGGCATAACATAAAGTAGAATGTGAAAGCAAGGTAAATGCTCAGGGAAGGGAGACTTCCTTCCTAAAACAGGTGACAATTTTATCTAGGCCTGGAAAAACAGGTAGGAATTTCATAGGTGTAGCTACCATTTAAAGATAGAATAGTATGAACAAGCCATAGAGGTGGGAAAGTACAGTTTGTGTTCTAAGAATGGCACTGGACACATTTGAAGAATGATGAATAGTCCAGTTCAACTGGAGCATAAGGTACTTAAGGAATAGTGGGTCAGAAGGCCAAAAAGTCAATGATAAGCTGAGGAATCTTAGAACTACTCAGCTCTATCATGTCCACTACAAAAGCTCAAAATGCCCACTATAATTGTTTCTTAAATCCATTTATTATGACAAGTGTTTCCCCAAAATTCTATGATTTTGTTTTCCTTAATGATTCTCAATAGTGAGCTGCCATTTGGCAGCTTGTTACAGTCTCCAAATGGCTAAAGGAGACAGTGAAATATGGCAGAAGGAATTTTGGACGAGGACTCAAAGCTCAACTATTACTGGAAGAAATACAAAACACACCATCTCATGGATTCACTTTCTATTTTTCCACTTTTCTTTCTTTCCTAAATTCCTTTTACATGAAAAAAAGAAATCCAGATCTTTCAAAATAGCACGTTTGTGTAGTTACCTAGAAATCTGTGTGTACTAC